ATTACCCGATTAATGAAATGAAAGCTTCATCACCTATTTTACTTATTTTGTGTTGAAGCTCCTCAAAAAATTTTTTTTTTTAAAAAAAATTTGTAGTTGTAGATGGACAGCATGCCTTTATTTCATTTGTTTATTTTTATATGGTGCTAAGGATCGAATTTAGTGCCTCATAAGTACTAGGCAAGCACTCGGCCACCCAGCTACAGCCCCAGACCCTCAAATTTTTATTATTATTAAGTTTTGCCTTTTCCTTTCATGGTAGAGTCCCATCTATACCATGTGAGTCAACCTTTTCCATGCTTGTGATAAATGGCTTAAATGTTTTCTAATAGGTGTCTTAGCCTGCCAGTTCATGTGCAAGGGCCCATCAGGTAAGGCATTTGTTGAATATCCTGATCTGCCTGGTTCAGGTGAGCTGCATGGCCTCAAGGGCCCTATGTCAGACACCCTACTCTGTACAACCCTCATTCCACATAGGAGAATACAGGGAGGTAAAGTGGCTGACTCCTGTTGGTGAGCAGTAGCCCATTACAGCTCCTAAGCCTCCTCCCACTTCCCCAGCCAGAGAATTCCACCACTGTCCCCCTTCCCCCAATGGGGATTGGACCCAGGGGTGCTCTACCACTGAGCTATATCCCCAGCCCTTTTAAAATTTTATTTTGTGACAGTATTGCTAGGTTGCCCAAGATGGCCTTGAACTTCTGATCCTTCTGCCTCAGCCTCCTGAGTTACTGGGAATAGAGTTGTGTTCCACTGTGCCTGGCTCTTAATGCAGGGAATTTTTAAAAATATATATTTTTTAGCTGTCAATGGATCTTTATTTATTTATATGTGGTGCTGAAAATTGAACCCAGTGCCTCACACGTTAGGCAAGCACTTTACCCCTGAGCTACATACAACTCCAGCCCATTAATGCAGGGAATTTTAAGCAGTGGAAAGAAGATGAATTTGGGGCAGACAGATATGCATTCCCTTTTTGGCTCCACCATGTGTCAGTTGTGAATGATTGTTTCCTCTCGGGATTGTTTCCATCTATAAATTTGTAACTTCTATGTGGCAGTACTGTTGTGAGGATGGATAAAACTTTGATTTCACTTTCCCATTGACCTCTATCCCTGTTCTGTACTTTCTCAGGGCAGGAATCAATTCTAAAAATCACTGCTAAATGGATAAAACTAATTTCTGAGTTAGCCAAATTAGTCTTGTTGGTACACGTTTCTTGAACTGCCAAACCTGAGAGAACAACTATATGACCATTGTAATACTGTGGATGGCCTGCCAAGGTAACCCATTTCAGGACACATCTAAGCTGTGGACTGAGAAAGGCCAAGATTTCTCTACCAACATTAAAAAAAAAAAAAAAATTCTCAAGAAACTTATAGGCCACAGGAAAAGTTTCTCAGAAACTTAGAAATGAGCTTGATTTTCACAAGGCAAAATGTTTGTGACTTTAAAGCAATTCTGAAGAAAAATACCATACCTTTATTGATATGGCTGTTTCTTTCCAGTATATTTGTAAACACAAAGACAATATGAAGAGACCTTGTCTTTTGTAGTTTTGATCCTGCACCCCCATTTTCTAAACAAATGTTAAATAGCTGAAGTACAATTTCTCTGTTACTGAGGAAGCAGGGACATTGCTTAATCTCCTCAGGAGTTCAACACAGCCTTGTTTTCTCTACATACATCTCTCCTCAAGTCCTGAGCATAAGCTGTTCAGATGCTTTGGCGATGATATGGGCTCTGCTTCCATAGGAAAGGTGAGGTGAATGTGAACCCCACCCCTCTACTTCAAGGGACTTCTTTTCCTTCTCTTCAAACTTACTTCAGCCAAAGTGTACACTGGATCATGTACTTGGTTGCATAGTACTAGCCAAATTCAAGTCTTGGCCCTGTCAAACCTGCTTCTTGGGGACAGCCTCCATCAGTGACTTCTTGGCTTTTCAGATTCTGAAAGACCATCCCAGCTGAGTTCCCTGTGAGCCATAGGGCCTGCACTGAGACACAACAGTTGGGCAGCTTCCTCTGTCCCTTCCTTACATTTCTTCTCCAGCAGGTGCTGATCTCAAAAAACACTTCTTCATTAGCATGCTAATCTGTTTGAGCCTGTTTTTTGAGGAACAACCTGTGACTACTGTGTTCCAGATGTTACTGATTTGTTATTTTAAAAATTTGAGTAAATTTAAAATCTATTGAGATCTATTTCAAGTTTCAGAATATGGTATATGTTAATAAGTGTTCTGAAGTGCTTGAAAAGAGTGCTGCTCTTTTTGGGTGGAGTGTTCTAGATCATCCTGGTTTATTTAGGTATGCTCCGTGTAATCACATAGGTCCATTAAATGTGGAAGGAGAAAAACATGAAATAAGAAGGACTTGGCTGGATACTGCTTGCTAGCTTTCCACATGGGGCCATTAGCCATGGATTATGGCGACCACTAGCAGCTGGAAAAGCAAGTGAGCCCCTGGGTTCCTCAGAACCTCCAAGGAACACAGCCCTTCCCATTCCTTGACTTAAGCCCAGTGAGACCCATTCTAGATTTCTGACTTCCAGAGTAGTAAGATAATAAATTTATGGTGTTTTAAGCCAGTGGATTTGTGATTTGTTACAGCACCAGTAGGTATTCTTCAGGTAACAGCTGTAAAAATGAATATGGAAAACAACAACCCCTAGGGAGAAAGGAGGACACTGGGTGGGTGGGAGTGTGGGGGCAAAAGCAAACAATGAGTCTTCCGCTCTGGACTTTCACCCTTTCCCAGCAAAAATGGGTTTCAAACTTTTGCAACTGTTTCCCTGATTTAGGCTTTGAACTTGCACAATTTTCACACCTCTACTTAACAAGTTCAGTCTTTTCCCTGGTTTCCTGATCACAAGGGAGTAACAGTAATTAAGTAATGTCCTCATCTCCAAATTATAGCAGCTGTGATATTTTTGGTTTTAAATAGATTTTTATCCTTATTGGGGATTGTGTTTTTCTGTTGTTTTGCATTTGATTAGATTTCAAATTCAATTTTTTTTACCTTATTGGGTGCTAAAAAATTTTATAATTCTTGTAGTCTTGAGCATTGGTCTGGGATATGGTTATTTGGAAATAATTTGATCTTTTTAGGCCTTGCTTATAAGCTTTGTAGGACTCAAGAGCAGTTCTTAGTTTGGGACTATTTTCCTCACTAACATGGCAATATACTTGTAAGTTTTTGATTCTATGTGAATTGTGCATTTTTCTACTCTGGTTGTGAGCTCTGAGGATTGTTCCCTCCAATTATTTTGGGGTGGTTCTTTCCCCACTCTCAGGTAGTTTTCCTCCCTTGCCTGGTAGGTACTCTACTGAATGAGGACCCTCTGCTAAGCTGGAGTATAGTGTCTTCTCTGACATTCTACCTTGAATACTGTGGCCACCCCTGAATACCCAGAACTGTCTGCTCAGTTAAGGGGCACTAAGGGTGTTCTGGCACCAGAGTTAACAATCTAGGAATCACCCTATTTAATTCCTGTCTGCAGGACTACAGTCTTAGCTGCTGATGTGCAATATTTTAAAGGACTGTTGTTTTAATATTTTGTCCAGTTTTAAAATTATTGCTGGTGTGAGGGTAAAGCAGTTACCTAGTGCTCTATCTTGGCCTAAAGTGGTAGTTCCATTTTACTTGTTTGATGTCAGCAATACTATTACTAATGTTCTTTTTTTTCATTCCTAATACTGGGATTTTGTGTCTTTTCACTTTTTTTTTTTTTTCCCATCAGTTGGTTCTTGTCTTAATTTGTCAGCTCAGGAACCTGTAACAAGATATCACAGATTTGGTTGCTCAAAGAACAGACATTATTTTCTCATAGTTCTGGAAGCTGAAGTTCAAAATCAAGGTGCTATCAGGTCTGTCTTCTGATAAAGCCTTCCTTCCTCTGTGAACATGTGGTGAGAGGAGATTTTTGAAATTTCTTCCTCTTTTTATGAATAACATTATAGAATTAAGACCTCATATATGTTAATTATCAAGTGTAGGTTTACTGTAGCCAGCTAGATAAAGTTGATTAATTCTGCCTTCAAATTTTGTGTTTGTTCTGAACACATTTCCACAATGCCTTTTAGTTTCTCTGAAGTAAATGTTCATTAATTTGATAGAAGTTATTCCAGGTTATAACTGTTGGTACTATCAAATTTTGGTACCTCATTTGTCCTTTTTTTTTTTTTTTTTGATATTGGGGATTGAACTCAGGGATACTTAACCACTGAGCCATAACCCCTGCCCTTTTTTTATTTTATTCATAGACAGGATCTAAGTCTAAGTTGCTGGGGCTGGCTTTGAACTCCTGATCCTCCTGTCTCAGCCTCCAGAGCCAGTGGGATTACAGGTGTGCACCACAGCTCCTGGCCCTCATTTGTCTTAATGAATAATGAATACATAATTGAACAATACTTCTTGTTGGCATTACACACCATGAAGCATGGAATCAAGTTTAATACATATTATTTAGAATTTAAGGGGATGAATATTATTTGTATTTGTTCATTCCAAACCATGTTAGTGTTGTCCTGTCAACATACAGAAAGGAAAAGACTTATAAAATGTACATAGGTGTGCCAGATGGAGAATAGACATTAAAGTGGTTTTAAAATCTCCACTTACACTGGATGTGGAGGTTCATGCCTATATTTCCAATGACTTAGGAGGCTGAGAAAGGAGGGTTGCAAGTTTGAGGTCAGCTTCAGCAATTCAGCAAGACCCCATCTCAAAAAATAAAAAGGGCTGGGGGATGTAGCCTAGAGGTATAGCACCTCTGGGTTTAATCCCTAGTACCCAAAACAAACAAGAAACTTCACCTAATATCTGGCACACATGTTTATGTATATTTTATAATGTGAAAACCAATGAACTATAAAAAAGTAGTTTTACAATTAAAAATGTATGTAAGGGATTCATGAACCAGTCAAGTAATATTTGTATAGGATAACCTTAGACTTTTAAAGGTCAATTGTAGTCATCTGTTAAACATAACAGGAGAAAGAAAAATGTTAAAATTTTTATTTCTGAAATGCTTTATTCTTTTAATCAGTATACATTATATTAAGTATAGAATTTCCTTAAAAATTAACAACTCTTGGGTTTCACTGTTAGGACATTGTTTTAGAAAGGAAAATATCTGGCTCTTTTGACTTTTCTTTTTAACATTTATCCAGGCTCCAAGTGGATTATCATATTAAGGTTCTTCTGTGTTATTTCTGTCCAAGTTGTGACAGCTAAAACAAAACACAAAATTATAACTTTAAAAAAAATCACAAAGAATGGTTATGCTTTCAAAATATACCTGTAAACACCCTAAGAAAATTCACTTTCATCACAGTAAAATTTAGGTTTCCTATTTGATTCACTGCATTCCTAAAATAATAATAATAAACTTTAACAACTGAATTAAACAAAACCCTGGGCTGGGGATGTGGCTCAAGCGGTAGCGTGCGCGCCTGGCATGCGTGCGGCCAGGTTCGATCCTCAGCACCACATACAAACAAAGATGTTGTGTCCGCTGAAAACTAAAAAAATAAATATTAAAATTCTTTCTCTCTCTCTCTCTTTTTAAATGATAAACTTAAACCAAATGTAAAAATCAACTAGCCAAAGACAGTGGACAGCAACTAGAAAAGAGTCACCACCCAGAAGGAGGGAATAGCCCTGACTGATTCCCAGGTTTTGTGGTTCTCAGCTGGTGTTATACTGGGGAGTTAGAACTGTGAGAGAAAACTGGCAGTCCTTCTTGCCTGGAAGAATCAGAGTGTGCTTAAAGCAACTAAAGAAACTGGAAAGTGAAGGTGGATCCTGGAAAGGAGGGAGAGACAGATGGGAATGAAATCCTTAAATTCTGTGTAGACATTCCCTAAATCTATCATGAAACCTGAACCTCTCATAAATGGGAGAGACTAAGAAGTCAGGATTTGAGATCCTGCCCAAGAAAACAGTTTGAAGTGAGTCCAATCAAGGTAACTGCCTATCTCCAAATCAATATTCTTAAGAGAAACAGAATTCAGTCTTCAAAAAAGAATATTTATAAAGTTAAGAACATAATATAATGCTAATCAATATATGAAGAAATAGAAAAATGTGCCCCATACTCTAGAGACAACCAATTGTGACTGGCAGGGAGATGATCTTTATGTTGTAATTTAAAAAGGTTTTAAAAGCAGCTCTAACTACCTTCAATGAAGTAAAGAAAAATATGCTCCCAAAAAATAAAAAAAAAATCAGCAGAGAAAATGAAATAATGCAAAAGGAACCAAATGAAAATTCTAGAATTGATAAGTATCTCCACAAGACACTAATTAAAAACAACTAAGCCAATGGCAGAAAGATAGTAGAGGGAAAGGAAAGGTGAAGTACTGAGACTGAATCAGAACAAATTATATTCTATGCTTTTATAATTTTTTCAAAATGAATCCTATTTTGTATAACTAAAAAGAACGAATTAAAAAATATTGCTTGCCTGGGGTTGTAGCTCAGTGGTGGAGCACTTGCCTCACACATGTGAGGCACTGGATTCAATCCTCAACACCACATAAAAATATTGTGTCCATTTACAACTAAAAGATTAAAAAAAATTGCAACATAGAACTGACAAATACATTATAAAAAGCAAAAGAGAAACAATAAAAGACTTAGAGAATATAAATTGTACATTCTGAATAGCAGAATTCTTAGGGATCTGTGGGACAACATATATGCCAAACACACAGTCCTACAATAATGCATAATGATGGGTCTATGTTCTGAAAAATATATCATTAGGTGGTTTCATCATCATGAAAACACCAATGATGTAAACTTAGACAAATCTGGTCTGAGTGGTACAACCTCCTATATGCATACCCAGGTTATTTGGTAATGCCATTGCTCCTAGGCTACAAACCTGTACATCAAAACGGAAAAAAATACAGTAAAATAGTATAAAAGATAAATGATGTGCCTGTATAGGCCACTTTCCATAAATGGATCTTATAGGACTGGAAGTTGGTCTGAGTGAGTGAAAGCTCAGAACATTATTGTACACTGTTGTAGACTATAAACACTATGCCTTAGGCTACATTAAATTTCAACACTTACTATCAGAATCAAGTACATAATATACATAACCATATGTGCTAAATATTATGAGTGGCAATGCAACAGGTCTGTCTACATAGCACCACAACACTTACCTAATGTGCTGCATTATGATGGCTCTGGTATCACTTGATGATGGGAATTTGTCAGCTGTGTTATAATCTTATGAGAGCACAGCTGTATTATATTGTATACATGGGCTGTTGTTGACTAAAAAATCATTATGTGGCTAGAGAATATGTAAAAGGAGTCCTAAAATGAGAAAGAAAATCGGGCATAAAAATATTTGAAGAAAAAAATGTCTGAAAATTCCCTGAATTAGTGAAGATATAAACTTAGCCAGGAAATTTATATCCAGTTTTCTCCAACCAAGACATATATGTCATACTCTTGAAGAGTATGACCTTATAGTTTTATTGAACTCTGAATGACTGTTGACTTATCAGAAAAAATGAAGGTTGGAAGACAGTAAAATATCTCAAGTCTATATAGCACAACTAACACTGAAGAGTAAAGGTAAAATAGATATTTTCATAATAGGAAATTAAGAAAATTCACGGCTAGCATACCTGAGGCACGGTAAATTCTAAAAGATGTTTTTCAGTCAATACAGAATTTAAAATTTTTTGGAAACAGAAGAAAATGGAGAGTCATAAATATCTGTAGAAAAGCAAAGGATTTGTTTGTCATCATTTTTGCCTCAGTTGTGTATATCATTGTCCATTGTCTTGTGAAATTATTGGTGTATACACGTGTAAAATATGGGAGAATAGTTCTATAGTTGTAAGGTTTCTAAATTTAGTGCAACTGGACAATATTAACTCTAGTCGACAAATAGTTAAAGATGTATATAGCAGTATATAGCAGTTGCTTTAGAGATCATACTCTATGAATTAATAATGCATAGATGTAGCTTAAAAAAAATTCTGTAGATGAATTAAAATGGAACTCTAAAGTTTTCAAAAATCCAAAGGAAGCATGTAAGGAAAAACAGAAGAATCCTAAACAGGAGACTAAAAGAAAAGCAAATAGTAAAATGGTAGACAGATTCTCAGTAATTACATTAGATGGTAACAGGTCAAAGACTCTAATTAAAAGGTAGACACTTCAGAATGGTTAATTTAAAAAGTTCAACTATAAGAGAGAAATGAATTACAGTAGATGGGGTAGAGAGAGAAGATGGGAGGGAAGGGGGGAGAGTAGAGGAAAGGAAGGGCAGCAGAATACAACATACACTAGTTTGGCAGTATGTAAAAATGTGGATATGTAACCGATGTGATTCTGCAATCTGTATACGGGGTAAAAATGGAAGTTCATAATCCACTTGAATCAAATGTATGAAATATGATATGTCAAGAGCTTTGTAATGTTTTGAACAACTAATAAAAAAAGTTCAACTATATGCTGTCTACAAGGTAAGTTGAAAATAAATAGGTGGAAAAAGTTTTAACATTGCTACTCTAGCCTCTTATGCTTACCATTTGCAATGTTAATATATGATAAAGTAGACTTTAAGTCAAAGAGTTTTATTAGTTATGTAGGGAAATACCACATAATGATAAAAGTGGCCATTAGAAAAATGATGAATCATAAAATGTGTATATATCCAATAGCCCCAAATACAGAAATGGACAGAAGTAAAGGGAGAAAGAGAATTCCACAATCCTATTTGGCAATTTTAATAGCAGATGATAGAAAGGACTCACCCTCCAAACCAAAACCGGAAAGCACACTTCAAACTAACAGAGAAGCTGAGCAATGCTATCAGATACCCTGACCAAACTGATATTTACAGAACTCTATACATAACTTCTGCAGAAACTCATTTTTTAAGAGTATATGGAATGGTTGGCAAGACAGGCCTATATGTTAGGCCATTTAAAGAAATTTCAATACATTTTAAACTGAAGTTATGTAAAAAATGGTCTACAACTACAAGGCACTATTAGGTATTTATGAAATCCTGGAATATAAGAACAGTATTATAAATAATACTTAGAATAAATCACAAGGTAAATTACAAAATATTTAAAAGTGATAATGAAAATAAAATAAAAATTTGTAGAATATGCTTAAGTATTATTGTTTGGCAGAAATTAATTTTAAGGCTATAAATGCTTATTTTAGGAAAGCACTAAAGTTAATAAGTTTTCAACTTAAGCTAGGAAAAAAGTTAATAGATTAGAAATAGAAAACAAATGAGAACAGTAACAAAGGCAACATCTGGTTCATTAAAATGATAAACAAATTTGAGATTCCCCTTGTTAACCTAAATAAGACAAAAATTTCATTTATTGGGAAAAATAACTAAATAGACATTTCTCAAGAAGAAACAAATGGCCAACAAATACATGAGAAAATGTTCAACATCTCTAACAATGAGGGAAATGTGAATTAAAACTATACTAAAATTTTATCTCACTCCAGTCAAAATGGGTATAATCAATTATGGGTCAGCATCCCAACTGAAAGCTAAGATCAATATAAGATTGTTAGTGGCAACAATCCTAAAAGGACCATGTGGACAATCAATATGCCTCAGTTATTGTAGTCATTAACTTTAAAGGTGAACATAATTTTCCTGTATCAACTGAATATATGTTATTGCCCAGAAGTTACTTCATTTCTCAGGCCCAATCTATGACACTCTTGGCAAAATCAGATATACGGAAAGCTGAATTGAATTTTGCCTAAATAAGAACACTACTCCAATTTTAAATTTTGTCAATTTGCCTTTTCATAAAGAATTGGAATAATGAAAATGTTAGTTAAAACAAATTTTTGAGTTCTACAGTTTTCAACTGGTCTAGATGAATAGTTTTCTTTCTCTTGAAAAATATCAATGGTAACTTAAGAGAAACAAACTAAAAAAGGTATACTTTACCTGTTTTATAAACTGTGAAGCATTAAAAAGCTCACTGCAGCCATATAAAATGTGTTTGCCTTGCTTTCCCTGTAAAAAACAGAAATCATGAATAAAAACTCAGATCCAAGTGAGTAACAAAAAATATTTTCAGTTTTCCTATGAAAAAATATTAACTTGCTAGGACATTTTTGTTGTTAGTTTTGTGGATGGTGGTGCTGAATTTCAGTGTACATGTGTATCCTAAAACTGCTTGAAATAAAGAGGGATAAAGTGGTAAAATAGGCATAAGAATGATTTATTATACAAAAATAGGAGTATGATCACATTTCATAGGATCAACAATTATCCAAAAAAATCTAAGACCACAACATTCTTTTAAAGATCTATGCTACTTGAAGAAAAATATTAATTTGGCCATGTTTAGCATAGTAGGATATGATGCAGGTAGTACGGACTGTAATTTCAGTCTCACTAGTGCAACAGTATTTACATGTTAATAAATATCCTGTTCCACTCTGAAACTCTTCTTTTATTTCCACAGAATGTTGGAACCTAATTACAACACTGAAACTTCTCCACTAGAAAATGCAATTCCTATTTGTATTGTGAACTTGAAGTTAAATTCATAAGTTTTCTTTTGTAATGTAAAAAGTTTATCCCACAAAGTAATTTGATAATGCAACAAGGAATAAAAAAATTTGGCTTTGTTACATAAGAAAAGGACATTTCTGTGATGTGTAAACTAAATAAGCTGCTTGCCTTATATGAAGTAAGAATAAAAATAATAAATGAATAAAAAAATAAATAAAAAATGAATAAATGTCCTAGATGGCCGTCTATAAAGGGAAAAAACAAAAGCCACACCTTAATTATAATTTTAGGCTGGGTGTGGTGGCGCGTGCCTATAATCCCAGCACTTCAGGAGGCTGAGGCAGGAGGATCACAAGTTCAAAACCAGCTTCAGCAACTTAGTGATGCTCTAAGCAACTTAGCAATGCTCTAACTCAGCAAGACTCTGTCTCAAAATAACACAAAAAAGAGCTGGGGATAAAGCTCAGTAGTTAAGCACCCCTGGGGTTCAATCCCTGGTACCCTCCCATTCCCCCCCTCCAAAAAAAACCTTTACAATTTTAGAAAATGAGATGGTATATGCAGCAATTACAGAAGGTCATATAACTAGGATTCTTGAGGCTATAGAGGACATAAATGAGCTATTAATAAAGGCAGAGATTATAGTATAGAAGGAGAAAGCAAGCCCAAGAAAACATCAGAGGGGTTCAACATTTCTAAGACAGATCTCAGGATGTTATCTCAGTAGCACAAGACTCATCATTTTTAACTGTTAACTATCAAGATACATTCTAGACACACTTGTATCCTACCTATATATTGGGAGTTCATAATCCAAAGATAAAGTGTGTCCTTGCAACGATCCTGGGAGTTGCACTGATCAGGATTTTTTTTTTTTTTGGTGGTGGGGTGGTACTAGGGATTGAACTCAGGGGCAGTCAGCCACAGAGCCACCTCCCCAGTCCTATTTTGTACTTTATTTAGAGATAGGGTCTCACTGAGTTGCTTAGTGCCTTCCTATTGCTGAGGCTGGCTTTGAACTTGAGATCCTCCTGCCTCAGTCTCCAGAGCCACTGGGATTATAGGAGTGCACTATCGCTCCCAGCAGCACTAATCAGTTTTGGAGGTCTGTTTTTTCTTCCTGTTATACCTTGATCTCTACCTTACTAGAGCCTTATATGAAGTGAGAATAAAAATAATAATCATCATTTTCTAGTGTTAAGTGAATAAATTAAGATTACAAAATGTCATTCTAAGAATACTTTGTTTTTAGTTTTTTTCTGTCACTTCCTGCTATGTTACCCAGCCTGGTCCCGAAATCCTGAGCTTGAGAAACCTCTTACCTCAGTCTCTTGAGTAACTGAAACTTATTGGTATGTGCCACTGTGCTTGGCCTGTATGCAGGATTTTTTTTTTTAATAAAGCTGTTTTAATTTATTTATTTTAGTTTTTTTAGGTGTACACAATATTTTAATTTTATATTTATGTGGTGTTGAGGATCAAACCCAGCGCCCTGCGCATGCCAAGTGAGCGCGCTACCGCTTGAGCCACCTCCCCAGCCCTTTATGCGGGATTTTTAAGTGATCTCTTAGAAGAGTAGTTACGTAAAGGTCAGGACAGCCACCAAAGAACGCTGTGCTCTAAAGATATAAAACTGAAACTATCCTATGATAGAATAAGAAGGCCAAAACATACCTTTATGTAGTCAACAAGATTTTGATATTCAATGTAGTTGCCTCCTCCCACCACAAAAACAATTGCCTACAAATGCAAACAAAAAACTAAATTGAAAGAAATAGTTAAAAACATTGTTATAATTTTCAAGCAACATAGTTTTTAGTCTGAAACCTATTCTACAATTGGGACAAAAACACTAGCTAGCCAAAGGCCACAGCTGAAGCATCTAATGGTATTTAATTAAGAAATTTCTAAAAAGTTTATACATTTATAAATTTTAATGCTTGTTCAGTGGTAAAATGAGATAGAGTTTTCAGAAACAATTTAAAGATAACTTCTTTTTTTAGTACCAAGGATTGAACCCAGGAGTGCTCAACCACTGAGCCACATTCCCAATCCTTTTTTATATTTTATTTAGAGAAAGGGTCTCACTGAGTTATTTAGGGCCTGACTAGGTTGCTGAGTCTGGCTTTGAACTTCTGATCCTCCTGTGCTGCTGGGATCACAGGCATGCACCACTGTGCCCAACACTAGAGATACTTATTATTCGTCTAATAAGTAATAGCAAATAAATCCAAAGGGCTTTCTTCAAAGGATGCTTTTCAGTTTGCAGTTATTTACTATGGGCAGGAAAATCAGAAAAACCAGCATTTACATAATTTTCTATATATGTTATTTACTGTATTTGCTGAGAAGTCTATTTGCATTTTAAATTAAAGCAGTCTTCACAAATGCATGGAATCCAATTTTATAAGCTCCACACTTAGAAAATTTTCACTGCAATCTGCAGGCCTTCTTTTTTGGCAAATTGCATAAGTTTCAGCCACTTTAAAGCTTCAATATAATAAGTATAAATAGTTTTATAAATCAGGAAAATACAGTTGCTGAGAATTAAAAAAAATCTTGGGGTACAGAATTGGATTTATCCAAATCATCATGCACTAATCATATTAGCCATGTTTATGACAAATTATTGTTCAGGTTACCTTTTATCTTTTCTAGGAGCACAAAATTTTCATGTGAAACTTACCTCCTGAAATGGATTTTTGTTCCTAGGAACTGAGCTGTAATAGAGAAAAACTATACTGAAAATCTCACCCATGGCTTTTATTATGGGTAGAACAGGTATGGGAAATACCACATTAACATATACTCCAGAGGTATGTTAGGCATTTACAGTTCTACCTCCTCTTTCTCAAGAGGGTAGTGGGTACTTGAGTTCTGCAGAGGAAGAAGCCAGAAAATGTAGAATACGTGTCTAAAAGGGAATTGGCATCCTATTGACTTTGAAATAAAATTCTAGAAAACTGAGGAGCAGGTCTCTGTATATATGTAGGTATTTTGGAGGTAAATTTCGGCATACTTCAAATGTCATTTATGTTGTCTATGGGTATCTATATTTGCAGAAAAAATGAATAAACACCTATAAGATAACATAGGAAGAAAAAAGAAAATGGCAAGAGGGATCCGTATTTTGCAGTAAATTATATTTTCTTTATTACATTATTATATATTTAAAAATATTTCTTTGATATATAGAGATCTTTAATAAGGACATTTTTTCAAAGTTTTTGTGTTTCAGATACATGTTTGAGTGCTAAAACAGGCTGTACAGTGTGATTTACAAGGACAGTTGAAACTTTTTTCAATTACTCAGTGGCTAAACATAGCTCTATCACCTTTCCTAACATCTTTAGTCTGTCTAATTATTCTGTCAAAGTGGTTAGACATTCACCTGATCAAAAATGCTCCTAAATGCTTAACTTCCTTCTAATTCTGCCTCCTTCCCTCCTAATTCTGCCCATTATTTTTCTATAATTTATAAGCTATTTTTTGTATCACCATGAATTAAATCTTGAAAAATATCTGTAATAAACAAAGGCTATCTTACTATATCATGCCTGTCATAAAATACAAAAATTATTTATAGAATGTTTCACTGTCAGCAAATGTTTTTATAGCAATGGTTTCCAAGAACTGGATTTTGTAGGCAGCTACATTAAAAAAACAAAACAGTATCCAAATATAAAGCTCCTTTCTCTTCATTTGGTCTGATAAAAATATTCTTAAAACACACATTATCCAAATTTCCCTCCCCTACACTTAGTTTGTAATGCCAAAAGCCCTCCCAAATAAGAAAACCCCAAAACAAAACAAAAGAAAACAAACACCTCAAAACAAAAACCCAGTAAACAGCTACATGTATTTGTATATATACTTGGAGGGAAAAACAACAAAATACTATCTTTAATACTATCTTTGAGAGATTAGCACACAGATTGCTTCCTTTCCAGTTTTTCCACACAGTTTAAATTTTTAATATTAAGCAGTGCTGCTTTAGAGTACAAAACCAATTATTTTCATGTTTGGGAAATCCTACAACATATTATAGAAGACAGAAACTGTTTACCTGTCATTGCCACGTAGCATTTTGGGATCGAAATATCTGTAGTCGTCAGTTTCCTATTTAAAAACAAAAAACCCTTGACAATGGAATTTTTCTTTAGAAGTTCTGGCATATGGTTATCTTATATTTATGAATCTATCAATTTTGTAGCGTGTAAAACAACCACCCCTAACATTTAATGAGTAGTTACAATGTGCTAAGCATCATTTAAGTGCTTTATGTGAAATTACTCATTTAATCCTGAGTTTCTCAAGTAGCTACTATTACTATCCCCATTTTTCAGATTGGCAAGTTGAGGGGGTACTGAGAGGTTCCTAAGGTTACATATGTAATAAGTATGGGAACTCTAGCATTGGCAACAAGGCAGTTTCAATGTCCAAGTTCTACTCTCATGCTATAATGCTTCTCAAAAATAAATCTGAAAAAAAAGTCTTTTAAGTCTGAAAGTAGTTAATGTACTGAAGTATTTTTGTTTTTTAGAATTTTATCTGTATAAATTTTATCTCATGATTTTACCGAATATATGGAATACCTAACACAGGTACACATCTCTTATCTGAAATTTTTGGAGTGATATGTATTTCAGAGTTTAGGATTAAAAAAAATTTAGATAAGTAATATCAGGCATAAACTACATATAATATGGGTAGCACCTCATCATCAAATATGTTAATACTTCTATATATGTGAACATTAACAGAAAATAGGATAAATAAAAACTATAAAGAGCCTCAACTGCAGTCCAGGTCAGATTTTGCCACCAAATGACTTATACAGAATCTTTTAGTTTTCAAAGCTTTTTGGATTTTTCAGAAATTGTGAATAAGGGGTTGTGGACCTCTATACTATACTGGAAACTTAACACTTTGATTAAAGAAGTTGGAAAGTATTGCTCTACTACTTATTGAATAAGGACTTTCCATTCTCTGCCTGCCTCTCCTTCCATAGCAGAATCATCCAAAGAAATTCATCTTTTCTTCTTCTGGAGTGTAGATGGTTTCACTAAAACCTGATAAAGTACAGATATACTACATGTGTTGCTACTATTTAGTTCCGCACCCAATAGTAGATACTTTCAATCAACCACAGCACCCTCAGTAAACCCAAATGTAGTGTCAGAATCCTCCAAGTAGTTTGCTTCAAGAAACCACTACCAACCAGATTTACAAGGCAAGAATAAACCTATCTGATATCTTGCCTTAACTTTATTAAGACAAAGGAGAACACTTAATAAATGTGATAAGAATGCATCTAAAAATAGGTAACAGCATTTTAAAACATTTGAGATAGGATACATTCAAGATTACCTGCCAGGTCTAACTTAGTACACTTTGCTATCTCTTCAGCATTTTGCTAATCTCCTCAGTGCCTCCAAATCAACTTGTCCATCTGGGAACAGGAGAGGTATAAGAGTGCAGGCAGCTACCTCACCTAGCAGATGGATGAAGAAATGCTTTCAAAACAGAAAACATTTACTTTTTCTAATTAAAGTATCTGTCTGTAGTAATGTGCCTTCAGTTCTATTGACTTTATAACTAATAAATGAACTTGTAATTACAACTTGGAGAAACATTTAAGACCCACGATTTAGCCATTGATGTGTTTTGCCAGAGAAATACAGAAGGATTGTGTATGCTGGGATGAGTACTAGACTGGAGGACAATAGTAGGATTTTTATTGTAATTCTGCTACTAAAAAGGTGTGACCTGGCAAGTTACTTAACCTCTCTAGGTTGCCTTGCCTCCATTGTTAAAATTATTTAGGATGTTTCCTTAAACTCTATTTCTGTGATTCCATGGTTCTTACCCTAATCAACAAAATATAATGGTAGACAATTTGGCTTGTGGTTAAAATTCCAGTGCTGCCACATACTAGCTGTATATCCCTGAGCAAGTTTAATGACCTTATTGTGACTCAGTTTCTTCATCTATAGAAATGAGAATAAAGATAACAATACTCTTCTTGGAAGGTTCTACTGAGGATTAAATGATATAACAGGTAAAAAATGCTTTGCATGGTTCTTGGTACTTAGTAAGTATGCAATATCTGATAATATTTAATAAGTATGCAATAATGTTAGGTGTTAATTTTGTGGTCATTATTTTTCATGTCAACATCAAAGGCAATAATAAAATATCATAATTTCCCTTAACCTCTTGTATATTTGGCTATCTAAATGTTATTTTTAATCTTTATTACTGTTTGGAATAATATGTTCCAGCAGTTTACTGCCCATTACAAAGCAGTATTCTCTGATACAGACATTAATGTCTCTCTTTGGCTTTTCAAGAAGTACTACTTCTTCATATATTCTAGGATACGGTGACAGTCTACTATTACTATATTATATACCACTATTATTTATATTGATTCCAAAATGGAAGAATTTAATCCTCTCAGATTATCCTTACAGATAATTCTTCCATTCTTTTCATAATGGTAATTGATGTTGGATATTTTATTAGGCTATGTTTCCATATGACTTAAATTCAAAATTTTATTTCTGTTAATTTCTTTTAATGTTACTGAAATAATATTTATAATTACCAGAAAAGTCCCATTGATCTGAACATTCTATTCTCATTCTTTTTCCTTTTTTTTCCAGGGCTGAGGAGTGAACTCAACCTAGCTTGTGCGTGCTAGGCAAGTGCTCTTGCCACTTGCTAAATCCTGAACCCCCTCATTCCTTTTCAAGTCTGGAATTGTGTGCCTCACTGCCAAATCTACAATGATTCACATCAACCCAAACTGGATTTTTTTTTTTTATATATTGGGGATTGAACTTAGGGGCACTCAACCACTTAGCCACATCCCCAGCCCTTTTTTGTATTTTATTTGGAGATAGGGTCTCACTGAGTTGCTCAGAGCTTCACTAGATTGCTGAGGCTGGCTTTAAACTTGTGATCCTCTTGCCTCAACTTCCAAGCTGCTGGGATTATAAGCATGTGCCACTAGGGTTTGGATGAGGGTAGGATCATGCTGCCATTTATTTATTTATTTTATTTGGCACCTGGGATTGAACCTGGGGGCACTTAGCCATTGAGCCACATCTCCAGTTCCTCCCCTGTCATTTAAAAATTTTAAATTTTGGGATAGGGCCTTGCTAACTTGCTGAGGCTAGCTTTGAACTTGAGATCCTCCTGAGCTGCTGGGATTACAGGCATGTGCCATCACACTCGGCTTCCATGCGTTTTTCTTTATACCAGACTCTAGCCATAGTATCAGGATAGTTATTTTTACCAAAGAAATTCTGAGGACTTTTGTATTTCTTTTTTGAATTGTAAACAGACAGCTTGAAAACTATTCAAGTAAATGTGATAATATTTACCAATGATTTCTCTTCCTCAATTTGCTTCTTCAGTCCCAAAGACTTCAGTGCCATTTGAACATAGGCACTTAAAATTTTTACTATGCATATTTCTCCTAATTTAATTTTCTTGAACTTAAATTGGTCTAATCCTCTTTACACTATACCAACTAGTCCTTTTTCATTTATAGAAACTTGCTCCTTAAGATAAAATTTACATGTAATTATACATACAGAAAATAATATACACTTAATTTGGATGGGAGTTGACCAGAATGTTTGTAGCAGTGGAGAAAATCAATTCCCAGTATCTGTGATAATGGCTAAACAGGGCTCTTTTAGAACATGAACTCTTTTCTTTCTCTGATTATTCTGCTATGATTAAAAACACAAGAAATTCAATCTGTATCATTACCTTTCCCATTAGCCAGTTTGATACATTCAAGAACTTACAAGTTCAATGTAACATGCTACTCACAGGGTTTGATTTCATCTCCATGAGATTGTCTAAAATACGAGTAACAGGAAGATTCTGTGAAAGAGATTAGTATTTTATTAACAATAATAAACCAAAGTTCCTTTCTACTAACAAGACAACCTAGTAATTTTATAGTTAAGGATTAATCATAATTAAACACATTCTAAGATTAAGTATACTGCAAGAGTTAATGATGTCAGATGTAAATATCCTTGGCACTTAAGTGTCCACAGAAAAATATCATTCTCAATGAAAAGCTTCTTTTAATATGTAGGCGTATTCAGGTTTTAGTAGACAATATGTTTGGGCTTTTTACTGTTGAATATTTGCTTCTCAATATTAGTAACTGCAATCTTTTGTTCTGATCAAGAATATCACTGTTAACTTTTCCTTTTGTCAGTTAAGAGTTTTCTTTACGGATAGTTTGAGTTCTTTTCCTATTTTTTTCTCTTTAATTTTTTTTCTTCTAATTGCTCTGGCTAGTTTCCAGGACTATGTGCAAAGAGGCATCCCTGTCTTGTTCCAATTTTTTGAGGGAATGCCTTGCATTCTACCAGATCATAATGGAAGGAAATTAGAAGTCAATGATAAAATAAAACATAGAAGCTACTCTAATGCCTGGAGACCAAATAATACGTTATTGAATGACCAGTGGATAGCAAAAAGTCAGGGATGAAATAAAAAAATACTTAGAGGTAAACAGAATAGCGATACAACATATCAAAATCTCTGGGACATCATGAAGGTGGTTCTAAGAGGAAAGTTCATTGCATTGAGCTCATTCATTAAAAGGATAAAAAGTCACCAAATAAATAACCTAACATTTCATCTCAAAGTCCTAGAAAAAGAAGAATAAACCAACACCAAAAGCAGAATACAGGAAATAATTAAAATCAGAGATAAAATCAATTAAATTAAAAAATTGTACTCTAATAAAATAGAAAATCCTGAAGACATCAACAAATTTCTAGAGACATATGACCTACCCAAACTGAATCAGGAAGATATAGAAAATTTAAACAGATAAATTTCAAGCAATGAAGATGCCATCAAATTCCTACCAACAGCTGGGTATGGTGGTGCATGTCTGTGATCCCAGGGGTTCGGGAGGCTGAGGCAGGAGGATTGCTGTCAAAGCCAGCCTCAGCAACACTGAGGCACTATGTAACTCAGTGAGACTCCGTCTCTAAATAAAACACAAAATAGGGCTGGGGATGTGGCTCAGTGGACAAGTGCCCCTGAATTCAATTCAAAAAGAAAAAAAAAAAGAATGGGATGGTATCACACTAAAAAGCTTCTTCATAACAAAGAAATAACCAAGAGTGTGAAGAGAAAACCTACAGAATGGGAGAAAATCTTTGCTAACTGCACTTCAGACAATCAGAATGGCAATGATCAAGAATAAAAGTAACAATAAATGTTGGTGAGGATGTGGGGGAAAAGGTACACTCATACATTGCTGGTGGGACTGCAAATTGGTGTAACCACTCTGGAAAGCAGTATGTAGATTCCTCAGAAAACTTGGAATAGAACCACCATTTGACCCAGTTACACCATTTTTTGGCACATACCCAAAGGACTTAAAATCAGCATACTATAGTGACAAAGCCAAATCAATATTTATGGCAGCTCAATTCGCAATACCTAAGCTATGGAACCAGCCTAGGTGGCCTTTAACAGATGAAGAGATAAAGAAAATGTGGTGTATATACACAAGGGACTATTACTCAGCCTTAAAGAAGAATGAAATTATGGCATTTGCCGGTAAATGGATGAAACTGAAGACTATCATGATGTTAATTGGAATAAGCCAATTCCCCAAAACTGAAGACCAAATATTCTCTCTAATATGTGGATGCTAACTTATAATAAGCTGGAGTGAGGGTGGGGGTGGTGAGAAATATTAGTTCACTGGATTAGAAAAATGGGAATGAAGGGAAGGGAAGGGAGATAGGAATAGGAAAGACAGTAGAATGAATTGGACATAACTTTCTTATATTCATATATGAATACATGACTAGTGTAACTCCACATAATGTCCAACCACAAAAATGGGAAGTTATACTCCATGTATGTCAAATACATTCTACTGTCATGTTTAACTAAAAGGAACAACAAAAAAGTTTTCCTTAGAAATTCAGTAACTTTTAAAAATAAGTTTGTAAAAATGCACAAAATTAATTGATCTAACAGATTTCTTTCATTTCTAATAAAAAGACGTTTGTATACTTTGAAAAATGGGGATATGAATACATACACAATTTTATTGACCATTTTTATTTTGCCTAAGATAAATTCCAATTTTTCAATATCATACTGCATTATCTTTTTTACAGAACAAATTTGACTCTGAACTTGAAATGTACAATACCAACACTGGTGTTGGCAGAAGTCTGTTCTTTTAACATGCTTATAGGATTTGGGATGAGATATACTATTGTTACATTTCTATCCAACAAGTTTGATTAATTTGAACATAAGAACACTGAGTACAGAAAATTTACTAAATGACTATACTGTCTATTCAAAGTGCATTTCTACTGGGCTGATATTCTGCCCATTTTGAACTGGTATTTCCCTTGTGAACTGTACAGAATAATTTTCTATTTGAAACTTCACACAACAAAAGCAACATTAAATCTGATTGTTCAAAAAAATGTAACTAAGGATTTAAAACAAGGATTTAAATTTTCTTAGGTCATAAAACATATTGTCACTAAAGTGGACTAGCACTAAGGAAAATGCTATTTTCCCTAGAAAAAGCAAAATATTTTTCCCCTTTTACTAGATTATGAAGTAAAGATCTTTTAAGATGGTCTCACACAAGTGAAATTAAATTAAAGTTATTTCATCATTTTCTGAAATTTGTGTTGGCCAGGAACTTTTAAATATAAAAGAGAACCATATGTTCAAACTGAATGTATTTCCTGAATAATCTTTAGAATAAATTTAAAAAGGTGGCTTCAAAATTTTACCTTTTTTGTTTCAAAAAAAATTGAGTTTGTTCATTTATCAATAGGCCTAAACCATAAATTTCTCTAGGGATGGAGAAAACTATAGTTAAGTATTTGTTCCAAGTAATAAGAACAAAAGATGATGAAGCACTTGGCAACAGTAGAGAAAGAAATAATACATTCTGGAGCAATGGAACATTACAAATTATTTGGCAAGACTTTAGTAAAATTGAGTTTTTTTTTTTAAACCCATTTTTCTATTTAGGCTGAATTCTGTTTAGCATTTTGAATTGCACTATTACAGCTATGCAATGGAGAAAAAAAATCAAAAGATTTCACATATGATAAATCATGAGTCATCTTTTATACTTTTGAAAATAATTGGAAATTTGGACACTTAACCAATATTTCATGATAAATCTTCATTTAGTATAAAAATTCCCTAAAGGATGCAATTACATTTTACTTTGTGCTTTATAGTTCTGCTATCTCTTATAACAAGTCTGTCAATAAATACATTAAATAACTTAAGAAAAATTTCTTTCTAGAAAAATTGTTCAAAAATTTAAAAGCCCAGGGACAAATCTTTCTTATATTTTCTCCTGGCCTTTATGATCAGACACTAAATCAATCAACTATAACTGCTGTGCCATGTAATATTCACAGATTGCCAGAGATTAAGGGCAACTCCAGTTGAAGAGAATGATAAAGGAAACACATAATGTCTTTTTTTTAAAAAAAATATTCATTTTTTAGTTTTCGGTGGACACAACATCTTTATTTTATTTTTATGTGGTGTTGAGGATCGAACCCAGCGCCCCTCGAATGCCAGGCGAGCATGCTACTGCTTGAGCCACAACCCCAGCCCACACACATAATGTCTTTAAAGGGATAAGGAAGAGTACATTAGAAAACAGCTTTTAAGATTTGCCACCAACTGGCACTCTATTCAGCTGTTTTCTTTGCCTAAATGAAGGCTTGGATTAATAATTTTTAAAATAAATTACAGATTTAATTGACTTTTATTGACGGAAAAACTGGGTTGTAGCATCTTAAGTAACAGAAGAGAGAAAGCATCAGAACAAAACAGTATATCTCTTTTTGCTTAGCAGAGACTGTTAGTTTTTAGAAACAAAATAATTGTGTACCTCAGTAAGATATATAAATGAAATTTAATAAAATGAAAAACATATTAATTGTTTAAAAAATTCCCAAGCATATTTTTCTTTTTTTGGAAATCACTATTTAGAAATAAAACTGGAAGCATTATTGTAGGTTAGTAACACTAAACGGATCAACTACCATTAAATTTCTAATAATTAGTAGAAAGCCATTACAGATACAGATTTGAGAAAAAAAGAGTCCTACACACACAAAAACCCTAAATTAAGGATCAGTTTTTCTAAAATACTCAAATTTCAAATACATGAACTAGAAATTTATGTATAGAAAAAAATATGGTAGGAAATTTGTGTCTAAAAACCCTGACTTCTTACTTTAATACTGTTTTGTAGTTTTAGTCATTAGAAAAGTTTAGATAAAAATAATGCTAACTTCATCTCTGCTGGGGTTATTGCTTAAAAAACAAAACAAAATATGCAAGAAATTCTAAAAACCAATTTAACAAGTGTCATCTCTATAACCAAAACAGAGAATTTTTTCCCCCTTTGAGTTCTAGAATTAGCCACCTCTTGACCTATATTGCCATCTGCTCTGTGGTGACTATTTCTAACTTTTTCCTCGCGTCCCTAGGCTTGGAATGATACTTTGATATGGAGCTGAAAGCAGGGCTGGGACAAGGGTTGCTGCTGTCCTGCATATCAGAGCTCTGGAGAATGAAAAGGCAGTTCCTTAGGAAGGATGCTTATCTGGAAGGCTTTGATTAGTACAGAATAAGATGGGATGCGAAGACACTGGGAACACTTTGGGAATGAGGCATATATATCAGTGCTAGAAGGGTGGAAAGTTGCCAGTGAAGATAGTAAGAGAGGGAATAAGATTGATCATCTCTTTTCAAAAACTGTAAATTATAAAACAGAAGGGAATCTACAGAGCAAACCCAATACTCTTACATTAGAGATGAGGAAACCATAAAACATGTAAGGTGGTTTCCCCTCAAAAATCATAGCATGTAATGGCAATAAAAATGAAGAAAACAAATGATACGCAAATTCGTGAAGTGTCCCATATTTTTAGCAATTAGAGAAATACAAATCAAAACTACTCAAAGATTTCATCTCACTTCAGTCAGAATGGCAGTTATTGTTGCTTATATTCTTAACAATAAATTTTGATGAGAATGTGGGCAAAAAAGGTACACTCAGACATTGCTGGTGGGATTGCAAATTGGTGCAACCATTATGGAAAACATTATGGAGATTCCTCAGAAAGCTTGGAATGGGACCACCATTTGACCCAGTTATCCCACTCCTCAGTTTATACCCAAAGGACTTAAAAAATCAGCTTACAACAGTGAAGCAGCCTACTCACAATAGCTATAAACTATGGAACACAGGTGCCTTTCAACAGATGAATGGATAAAGAAAATGTGGTATATATACACAATGGAATATTATTCAGCCTTAAAGAATAAAATTATTGCATTCGCCGGTAAATGGATGGAGATGGAGAATTTCATTCTAAGTGAAGTAAACCAGTTCCAAAGAACAAAAGAATGAATGTTTTCTCTGATATGTGGATGCTAATTCACAATAAGGGGGTGGGGAGCTAGGGAAGAATAGAGGTACTTTCTAATCCAAAGTACCTATATTCTTCCCTAGGCTTCCTACCACCACCCTTATTGTGAATTAGCATCCACATATGTGCTCATAGGGTAATAAGGCCCAATTCATTCTACTATCCTCCTTCCCTTATACCTGCTCCCCTCCTGTGTCAGCCTCCTGAGCTGCTGGGATTATAGGCATGTACCACCATGCCTGACCTTCAAAACAATATAATTTTAAGGGGCATAAATTATTCATAATGCTCCAACTGTGAAACTGATGGAACCAATCTCTTAGCAATCTCTTCTTCTTTTTTTTTTTTTGGGGGGGGGTACCAGAAATTGAACTCAGGGCCACTCAACCACTGAGTCACATCCTGGCCCTATTTTGTATTTTATTTAAGACATGGTCTCACTGAGTTGTTTAGTGCCTTGCTATTGCTGAGGCTGGCTTCAAACTCCCGATCCTCCTGTCTCAGCCTCTCGAGCTGCTGGGATTACAGGTGGGCTCTTCTTTTGACACTTCTTACCTCTTAGTTTCCAAATTGCCTCAGAGCCCCCATTGCCTTTTTAAGTATTAGGACGTCGTAATTTTTTTTAAAAATATTTTTTAGCTGTAGTTGGACACAATACTTTATTTATTTATTTATTTAATGTGGTGCTGAGGATCGAGCCCAGCGCCTCACATGCACTAGGCGAGCACTCTACCATTGGGCCACAACCCCAGCCTCATGACGTTGCAACTTTTAAAATAGATTTCTGTGAATTTAAAATAAATATTTCTAGAACAAGAAGCTTTTTACTGGAGGGAAAATTCATAATATTCATTAAGAACAATTAGAAATGTCCACACCCTTATATTTCATAATTCAATTCTAAGAATTTATCAGGTAGGTATAAGTAATATGAGGTGAATACTCACCCAGAAAAAAAAACTAACATTTAAAGCTTTGGTATATATCCTTCTGTACTCTCTATTTTTTCTTTTAAAAACCAACAAAAAGCCAAATGCAGTGGTATACACCTGTAATCCCAGCAGCTAGTAAACTGAGGCAGGAATAGTATAAGTTCAAGACCAGCTTAAGCAACTTAGCAAGGCTCTAAGCTACTTGGCGAGACCTTATCTCATAATAAAAAAAAAAGAACTGGGGATGTGGCTTTGTGGTTATGTGCAGTCTCTGATACTAAAACAAAACAAAAACCAACAAAAATGATCATTTGGATTTGCTGTTTTGTAATATGACTTTTCTTTTTTCTTTTTGTTACTGGGGATTAAACCCAGGAGTTCATATCACTGAGCTATATCTCCAGTCCTTTTTTTATTTTGAGACAGGCTGGCTTTGAACTTGAGATCTTCTTGCCTCAGCCTCTCAAACTGCTGGGATCACAGGGGTGTGCCACCTACACCCAGCTATAATATGACTTTTTTTTTTTTCTGGGGGGGGAGGTGCTTATCCATGGAGTCACATCCCCTGCCCGTTTTTATATTTTTGAGACAGGGTCTTGCTAAGTTGCTGAAGCTGGCTTTGAACCTGTGCTTTAGTCTACCGAGCTGCTGGGATTACAGGTGTACATCAATGTGCCCAGCTACAGTATGACTTTTAAGTTCACTTTGCAGAATAAAATGACTCACACAGACCCCTAGTCAATACATATTTTGTCTTATGCTGATCTTATTCTTTTTTAATACCACGGCTCTTCTGATGGTAGTACCAGATATGTTACATTGATAGGGGTAATCACAGATCATTTCAAAGTGAGAATTTGCCTCTGTCAAAGCAGAAGTCATCTGCAATGTTAAGAAAAGCAAAGGGATTTGAAGTCTTAAAAACAAATTGTTTTTATATTTTATGAACTCTAAAATAAAACAAATATTGTGTTAGCACATTAAAATAGGGCAATTTAAATGCTTCTTGCAGGTATCATTAGGGGACTTGGCAATACTGTGCACCAGTTTAAAAAAAACACTTTAAAAAATATTTTTTTTAATATTAAAAAAAATATTTAGTAGTAGTTCCTTGCAAGAGAAGAAGTAGAATGGGAGGTATTAATTAGAATTCCTGAGATAATGAGGTTAAAAAGCATTCCCCGAATAAAATGTTTAGAATCATTTAAAGGAGAAATTTGGAAATTAATCAGCCTTGTAATTAAATGAAGCAAATTAGGATTTTTACTATTCTTTACTAACGTTCCATGGTTTTTTGTAATAGAACATTACTTATTCAAATAAAGAATTTGAATAAAGAATTTACTTTTAAACTAGAAACCCACTTTATGAAAAATTAAAATATTATGTGGCAATTCATTTTTCAAATAATGTATTTTCATAAACCCGATGACAAAGAAAAATTAAATATGAGTAAAGTTCAAATGAGCCAATCTTTAAAAAGTATTAAGATTTCAGAATTCTCATATTCTTATATATACCAATTAAGGACTTCCTGACCTTATTTTATTCCTCATTTGTTCTCAGTAGTCAACCTGTCAACATTTATGTTAAAAAGTTACTAGTATGCTTTTGAACAGGAGCACTTACTTGCTGTTTCAAGACCAAGTTCTTCACTCCTTCCATCACAAACTGAGATCCTGTATTCATGACTCGTGATAAGAGACTAAGTAGAGGCAAGAGAAGGACTTCAGTAAGTAAAGCTTCTCTAATTTGTTACAGATATAATATCTGCTCGCTCACACACTGCATGCTGATGCTCACTGTACCTATTACCATTGTTTTCACTAAATAGAAAGACCCTGAGAATTTCTGCTTCCATGGGTATCACTGCTGCAATTTTATTTAGCCATAAGATGATGAGATTAGTCAGTAATTATTTTAAAAAAATTTGTTCTCAAATAAATATTAATCTTAGGTACAGCTTTGAGGCAAAGTATAATTTGAAGTAATTAAAGATAGTAACCTAGACAACTTGCTTTAGGAGCTCAAACACACATGTTGAAAATACATATGCTTACTAAGTACTATGAAAAGGTCAAATGTTACTGTCTCTTTCTACTGTGTTCACAGCAGTAGAAAGGATCCAGTCCTGAACAGTATACTATGTCCTCTCTCTATATAAAGTCTATAATAAAATGTGGGGTATAACCCACTTCATGAATTCTGTCTCAATTCTGAAGAATGCTTATTGTCAGAACTTTTATTTATTTATTTATTTTTGTACCAGCGATTAAACCCAGGGCACTTAACTACTGATTTTGAGAGTGCCTAAGTTGCTTAGGGCCTCACTAAGTTGTTGATGCTGGCTTTGAACTTGCAATCCTCCTTCCTCATCCTCCCAAGTTGAGGGTATTACAGGTGTGTGCTACCACTCCTAGCTCTTGTCTGAACTTTGAACAACAAAAAGAATGCCAACAAATGACTTGTCACACTGGGTTTAAATTTATGGTTCAGTCTCTCACATGGATCTCTCACATGGCACAGAAGAGTAATTCTGATACATTTATGATATTAGAGGACTAGGGATAGCCTGCAAATTGCTTTTCTTATAACACTTTTTATTAAAATCCCCAACTAAAAATACATAAGAAATCTAATAAGCTTTATTTAAACATTTCTTAAGATTTTAAGACATGAAACTGGAAAATCTCTTTTATTAAATACATGTGAATTATTTTCCAAAATTATTTTCCTTTTCCCTGTTTTATTCTTACCCCCTGCTGAAAAGAAGAGATGGACAGGATGGATATCCTTAATTAACAGAAATAAGAGAAAGTAATCTTTGTTGGAATACACACAGGCAACTCTGAAGGGCATATAAACTGCACAGCACCCTCTGCAGCTGGATTCATTTTGCCCAGGACTTACAAAGGGCAGGCCTTAGGCAAAGTTCTATCGTTTCTGGAAAATGTTTCATTAAAACTTGTACGGAGCTAGGATGAACCAATTTTCCTTTGAACTTCATACTTTTATAATTCTAGCTCTAAAAAATAAGTTAGGAATTTGAAACTTGCATGGTATTGAAGAGAACAGTAAGAATTATCTTTGTTCATAATTTTTGAAAATTACATAAACTTTATATGAGTCTTTGGAGTAAGAAGTCATCCACAGTCCTGGGTACTTCCTAGCTATCATTCAGCACCATGCCTGGATCTGTCTTACACCTAGGTCTGAGTGACTAGCTTCAAGCCTATGTTAATTATCAACATTGATATAAAAATAGTTTTAACCTTCACATATTTTCTGAAAATGTGTAATGTTTTAAGAGCAAAGAAGCACATGAAGTTCATATCATGTAAAAGATACTGCATTACATTAAAAAAAAATTTAAACCATCTAAGGAAGCCAAAGGCATGGTGATATTTATCCTGCATCATAACAAAAACATTCTTCAAAGTGTTAGGTATTATGTTTTTAAGGCATGAAAGTCTAATTAAAGCCTGGAGGACAAGGATTCAATCAGCATTATTAAAAATACTTACCCCATTGGTTTAGTGGTAGTGTTTCCATAGCTGGCAGGAGCTGAGGCCATCTTGGCAAAAGCCCTAAGATATAAGAAAGTTATATTTAGATGTGACTATTAAAATTCCTATTCAGTATTATGGTATTAAAATATCTATTGACCAACTCTAACTTCTATTATGCATTTTCTGAAAAAGAGGAATAATTTTTTAAACCAACATAACTATATTCACTTAGTACAGAAACACTGATATTCTTTAAAAACACAAATGCATTTTAATCTTCACAATTTTTCTTTCTTTATCCACTCTCATCTGATCAAGGACAAGAACTGAGGCAGACACCTACTAACTTAAGACAACAATTATGTATTGATTAACTTTAGTCTCCTTATTGTTTCCATATACTGTATTCTCTTGTTCCTAAATACATGCCTTTGCTCACTGTGACCTTTGGAGAGTAAAACTCACTACCTTCTGCAGTGGAAAGTGCCCATTTCCTTTTAAGACTCTGTTCAAAACCACTTTATCATTACTCTTTCAATTTCTACTATCCAATGATTTTTTTCCTGTAGCTGTATTTTGTACCATACAATTTTATATTTAATTGCATTACTTTTAACTGTTTTGAAGTATCTAGAGTGTCTTTAACTATACTATAACATTATTAAGGGTTGGGGGAAAACACAGCACTTAGGTGTGTTTTAAAAATTTTTCCTCTGAGTCTCTTCTCTCATTCTGTACAGAATCCAGAAAATACAGAATGCTTGCAGAAGAATTCCATAACTTTGAGGTAACCAAATATTAGGATGTTGGTGTATATTTTTCTAATCTTTGGACATATGCATACATAAAGTACATGATTTAAAAATCAAAATTAGCATTGTATTACTATAAACATTTAATGTCAATAACTATTCTTTCATGATTCTTAATTATTTCAATTGTGGCTTTGTAAATAAAGATAAAGTGTGTGTGTGTGTGGGAAGAGACCTAAGAAAATTTTTATAAAAGTAAAAAAGAATGGGAATCACTAAGATGTGGTAGTTGATATGCAGACAATATTCAATCTCAATCTTGATAAAATCTGTCAACAGAAATCCCAAACTTGACACAAAAACATGTTTTGTTCAGAAAGGAGGATATGAATCAACTGTTTCTAGCAGTGAATTGGAATTTCTGTCTTAACAAAAATCTGTATTTTTTTTTTACTAGAAACTATATGTAAATGATTAAGAGGGGTTTATAAATAGCATTATATTTTTATGACTGAATATTATGCAAACATCAAATATTAACCTTGGAGACTATCTTAAGAACAATGACAAACAAAACCTTATAAAAATGATTTTCCAGTTTTAAGAAATATATGTAATATATGCACAAAACAGAAGGATATACAATAACATTTACCTGTAATCTCTGGATATCGAGATTACAAGTAAATTTTTACTTTTTCTTTATACATTACTTTCCAAATTTTCTTCAATAAACTGGTATGGCTCTTACAATGGGAAAAAAATCTTATAAATTAGAGTTTATGTATTTTATGACTGTGTAAAATAATGCCCAAGATTGTTTTTCCCCTGATAACTCTAAATACTGATTAAGGAATTGCATGTAAATCATAATATAAAACAAACAATGTATATATACGACTGCATGACAGATGTGATTCTATAATATGTACAACCAGAAAAATGAGAAATTATGCCCCATCTATGTATATCAAAGTGCATTCTGCTTTCATGTATAACTAATTAAAACAAATAAAAACATATTAAAAAAGAACAATACTCTGTCACACTGCCAAATATGTCTGTATATTATAAAAGTTGGAAAAAATAGTTTTTAGTTTTTCTTTTTAAAAAAAGGTTTGTTGTATATTACAAGAACACAGTCAAGTGAAATTTGAAAACATGAAAGCATAGATAATACTCAAAAACTTACTACTCAGAATAACCACCGTTCATTTGGTACATTTCTCTTGCTATGCACATTTTTTGGGACCTAATTGGCGATCAGAAAGCACAGTTCAATCTTACTGTTTTAAAAACTGATTTAAAAATTATTTCAAAGGTAATGTTTATTAAAGTAAATTTGGAAAATAAAGTGGTCAAAAGAAAAAAAAAATCTGCCACTAGGAGTTACCTGCTATGACATTCAGAGGTATGTCATTTCACTTATGCAATTAAATGTATATATGTGTATACTAACACACTAATACAGAAAAATGGATAAACAGGGATTGTGCTGTAAAAAAATGTCATCTAAGTTTGTGTTCAAATGTGATCCAGAGGTTTCCCCTGATCTCCTAAACATACTTAGCTCTTACCTCCAATAAATTAAGATCTTATTCAACTTTATTTCATTTTATTTGATTAACATGGCATAGCATCATTCTGTTCATTTACTTGTTAACTATTCCCTTAAGATAAATTCAGTGCCAGTGAGGCCTTGCTTATTAGGCTTTACTATTAGAAAATACAGTCATCCTTCAGCATTCACAGGGGATTGGTTCCCAGATCTTCAAAGATATGAAAATCTGCAAATGCTCAAGTCTCTTAAATAAAATGCACAGTATTTGCATAAAACCTATACAAACAATCCCCATATACTTTAAATCATCTCTAAATTACTTAGCATACTTAACGAAATATGAATTCTATGTAAATAACTGTTATACTGTATTGTTAAAGGAATAATGATAGGAAAAAAGTACATATTGTGGAGAGCAGTGATAGAGAATGGGAGAACAGTGTCTGAGATTGGGGTCTCTGATGACTTCATGGCTGTGGTATGCTTGATGCCTGGGAAAATTTCTGTGCAAAGGTGCAGGATGCCTAGCTGCTATGGTGATGCCTAGCTGCTATGGTAATGCCCTCTGTGAGGAGGCTCTGTGCTAGAGTCTTATCAACCTCGATCTTGATCTCAGGCACTCAGCTCCTGGGAATAAAAGAACTCTTTGGCTAGAAAACCACAATATTTTGCCAGCTCCACTGCTCCTGAACCTGTCCACACAACAGTAACTTTAAACAATGGACTTTCTTGAGAGCTACCCAAAGCTCCTAATATTGCACAATGTAACTGTGGAATGTAATTGCAGAATAAGCTGCATAATGTTGTTAACTAACTTTCATGAATACAAAGACTAATGCTTGCACAGTCTTTAATCTGATTAATGAGACATATATAAGTAAAGATTGCTGGAGTAATTCTTCAGACACTGCTCTCTACAACATGTGTGTTTAGAAAAAAATTTTTTTGAATATTTTCAATTGGTGGATATAGAAACCATGAATATGGAAGAACAAAAGTATTTATCAAACAAATCAATAAAGACTGTTACACAATTTTTTTCTCCTTAAAAAATACATGAACATTTCCTATGTCAGTAAGTCTTCTACAGCACGAATTTTAGTGATTCAATTGTATTCTACCTTATGTAAATGCTACAATTTACTTACCAATCTTACCACTGGACATTTAAGTTGGTTTTCAAAATTTCATCATTTTAGTTACTTCTGAGATTTTACAACTCCAGTTACTTATTTGGGATAAATCATTAAGAGAAGAATGTGCTAGGTTCAAGCCATTTTTTAAAAGCATTTTTATATCATCCAGAAAAATAGTGACAATTTATATTCACAGCAACACAGTACAAATTTGCCAATTAATCATCTTTGGCACAATATTTTCTACATTTTTACATTATGTTAATCTGTATTACCTGTGAAATTAAAATTAACTTTTAATGTTTTTAAGACACTTCAGTCTTTGACTTTTTTACCTTATCAGTGGAGAAAATATAAAGCTTGTCTAAAAAAGAAAGTCATTACTGTTTTATGTAATTTTAAGATGTGCATAGGGTGGGTCAGATAAGGAAATATTTGTGCCACTGGATATAAAAATCAACAATGGCACTGTTTAATTTCCTTATTAGCATTCCCATTTTCTTGTGAACAAAACCTTAACAGTGCCCTTACCTTAAATGACAGGAATTAAAGAAAATAAAGCTTACTTCCACTGTTTGATATATTGTAAAGGATTAAGGTTGCATCCTGCATCTGTTAAAGCTTTTTTATACTGCTCCAAATCAGCCTGAAATAAGAAAAGAACTGTATGACAAAAATTTATACTTTCATGAATGTTGTCATTTGAGTAATCAGCAAGTAATACCAAAAGCATGAGCTTAAATTATTGGTACCTAAATAGAATGGAGTTGCATCTTTACTGAATACCCAAGTGAGGATCTGAGACAAAAATCATATAAAATAAAAATAACTTAACAGGTTCTCAAATCACCAATAAAGTGTAGTATTTTATCATCCCTCAGTAAATTCAACAGTCATGTTTTTTCTCTATTGCTAACATAGATTGGCTTTCTTTGGGACAAGCATTAAATTAATGATTTGGCTTGACCAAGAATATTTCAGAACCAGAAGTAACAGGAGAACAACATGGACTGAAAAGAACTGCTGATTCAGGTTTCCCATCTTATATATTCTAGGGGTCCAGATTCATTAACTGAAAAACAGTGTATTACACCCTCTCCACCACCCAGATTGGGGCTCTGAGTGTCCTACACCTCTTAAATAGCTGTTTTTTTTTTTTCCTCTTCCTTGAGCTTTTTTCTTTTTCCCTAATGAGTAAGTCCAGTTGAATCTGTGGAAGTTGAAGAACTACACTATAAAAACATTACAAGGAAGAAGCGTTTAAAGTTTACCATAAACCAGGAGTTTTCATTACTTTGTATTAAAGGGCTGTTAATCTGATACCAGTTGCCATAATTTGCATTAAGCCTCTTAATCATCACTGAAACTTCTGAAAAGATGTAATTTTTAAACAAAAATAAATGAAATTAATGCCCAATTAAACTATTGTTTTAAAATCACTTATATATGATTTAACAATATATATATATATAAAATATATATATATTTTATTGGGGATTGAACCTAGGGCAATCTACCATAAAACTATACTGTCATCCTTTTATACTTTTTATTTAAGACAGGGTCTCACTATGTTGCTGACGCTGGACTTGAACTTGTGATCCTCCCTCCTCTACTTTCTGTTTTGCTAGGATTACACTCATGCACCACTGTGCCCAGCTAAAAATCAGTCTTAAGAAAGCATAATAAAGTCTGTTAGAATCTTATAAGATAATGGGAAACTCCCATTGATGAGAGATTTTTACAAAGAAAAACCACACTTACTGAATTAAAGTAGAAGTCAAAAGATAGATGTATTCCTATAGTACAATAGAAATGGCTTAAAGCAAATACTGGGTTTAGTTTGCTGTTTTAACATGCCCAAAAGTTTTGATCTTTGCTGTTTTAACATGCCCAAAAGTTTTGATCTACAGAAGCCTGACAATTTACTAGACATCAAAAAGTAATTGCTACCAGCAAAGGAAACAAACTTACAATAGCCATGTTATTCCAGATGTAATCTTAGAAGTTCATTTAGTAAAACTAGTTGCTCATACTTCTTGCTCACCTAGTAAAACTATACTTGGTCAACATGAGAAAGAGTCAATGATCTCTAACTCAGTAAGAAGCCTGACACCAAAAACCCATCACTTTCCTTCATAATACAGGATATAGGATATTTTCTATGGAATACTAGTTTCAAAACAATCTTAAAATTATAAGACTGTTCAAAAATCTTATCAATACTGGTTAACCTATTTTAGAGTAGTTATTTTCCAGAAATAAGAATTTTGGCACCTTGAATTCAATTCATATTTTAACAACTTAATAGTGGTCAGACATTTCCTGAATGGACAGTTTCCCCTGGTGACAATAAAAACTGCCACAAACTCTGTAGTAAATAGAATGAGTCTTAACAAATTGTTTTTCTTTTAAAGAAAGGAATGAAGTAGTTATCTAGCCATAGTGATTTTTATTTCTATTTTTGAAATTCTGTTTTAATTGCAAATAAGCATTCCTCCCAATAACTCTTTAGAGCACATACCTCAGAAGGGACTTGCTGTGTACTTATGTAATAGATAAGAAACAGTCTCATTTTGTCTTCTGGAGTTCCTGCTACAAAAGAAAAATAACAACAAAAAACTTTCATAATTGTGGTTATGATAATCAACATTTACAAGTACATTAAAATTCAAGGCATATGTAAATGTAGCAAAACAAAATATGGTTCTTGATTCAACTGATAATTACCATAATTATAACCACATAAAATACAGATACAGAAAAAGATTAATCGTAGGATTAGAGGGCTGTGATTATGGAAACAAATTCATTCTAACTTACAAACTATAGTGTTGAGATTTACTTTTTAGATTAAAAAACTCAAAAAGAAAAGGAAGGATATAGGCAGGTAATAATACAATTATATAGAATGGGATACTTGTAAGATGGCAAGAAGAGGTTGGTAAAATTAATAGTTGTTTAATAATAAATAAAATAAAGGTATAAAAATACAATCACATTTAAAAATAAAATTAAAACATTTTAAAAATCCCTAGGGCATTTATTAACACTAATATTATAAAATACGTTTCCTCTTGAGGAATGGGAACTATTCTTTCTTTTTAAAGCTAAGTATTACCTACTATTGGAAGATGTTATGGATCAAACCCAGTGTATTACACATGCTAGGCAAGTGCTCTACCACTGAGCTACAACCGCAGCTCCCTCTAGAGTCTCTTTGCCAATAGAGTTATCTTATGGTAAGGATTGAAAAGCATCCTGATGCATATAACTATATATGAACCAAACTGAAATCATAAAATGTTTCTTTTTAAACCAATAGTCTATAGCACGTAGCTACAGCCTGGAACCTCTTGTCATACTTTATATTTTGAGAAAAGTTTTAAGAATAGCTTGGAAAGCATTTTTTTAATCTCTGAAAAATTTAAGTTGCTGAGCTAATGTCCATTACTCTCAAAATCAAAGACATTTCCAATATAATTTTGATAATATAACAGAAAATTAATGTTGATACATTGTTACACAAATGTAGTAATCTGCTACACGATATGTATATTATTGTTTCATTCTCATATCCCATTTCAAGTTTAACGAATTGTCTACAATATCTTTCATGGCAAACTTTGGAATCATGTGTTGCACAGAATTGTTATGCCTCTTTAGTCTTCTATAAAAAATTGTTCCTCCAGCTTTCCTTGACTGGCATGACTTGGTATTTTTTAAAATTATAGGTTACATTTTTTTGGCAGCATACTGTGCAATTAATATTTCATCACAATTAGATTCAGATTATACATTTTTAGCAAGAATATTACAAAAGGATGCTGTATTCTTTGCAAAGAATCATAGTAGGTGCTGCAGTTATTTCCGAATATCTCATTACTGATGATTTTAATGTGATAATCAAATAGGGTATTTGTCAGGCTTCTCCACTGTAAAGTTACTATATCTCTTTGTAATTAATAAATACTTTTAAAGTAAGTACTCTGAAACTGTAAATATCCTGTAAAATTTGAAGGTAACCATTTTTTTTTCTATGAGGATTTGTAGCTGTTTCATTCAATGGGCTATACTCATTATTTATTCTGACATTCAACTGTCATGATTTGGAGATTTGTCAAGCTGACTTCTGGGACTTTTTGACATGTTCTATCATATTTTGAGTTATTTCCTTGCTTTTTGTTACAACAAAATGTTCCAGACTCATCTAGTACTGTCTTTCCCTACCCGAGTCCTGGAATCAGTTACTTCTCCAAGGAGTCCTGGTGGAAAATGGTATTTATGAGCCAGAATCTTTAGCAGTGGGATATTACTGTTCCCAGGCCTCCTCAGCTAGGGAATACATATAGTGTGCACATGTGTGTGTGTGTATATTGATTTCTAGATCTGACAAATATATAGTGAGAACACTAAATTCACAACACTTGAATACTACTTCATTCTAGTTTTTACCTTTCTGTACTTAATACTTCTTCCTCTGATGACAAGAAATCTGGCTCCCTTTAAACTAATCGACATATTTACTTGTTTAACTAGTTCTCTGTTTGTAATAAGTATCCATATCTGCTGCTATCCCTTTGCTTGCATGGATGCTCTTCTTACTTCACTTGAACTCTGATTCCCTATGATGGAACCACCCACACACCTGGACATATTTTTCAACCTACCTGGGCCCAGACTGAGTAGTTCCTGTGTGGGATCACTTGCCTTAATCAGTTAGGGCTTTTATACCTCTTACAAAACTTATTCCTACATGTGGATACACTGTTCATCCCCTCTTGAACTTTGACATTTCACACTAGGTTACCCACTCCCCTCTACCCCATGTGTAGTTTCTCCTGCCATCCTGCTTAGGTTCCAACATCTTGTTCTGGGCTAAAGTGGCACCAGACTGCCACTGTGCATGAATGCCGACTTTGTTCTGCCCTACTTAATGTCTTTTGGAAAAAGTTGTGTGAGAAACAAAGAAGAAAGGCCTTTTTATCAACACATTTATTGTTTTGATTGTATTCAGAAATTTTTACAAACAACAAGGAATACCTCGGAAGTGATGGATGTTTCTCTCATTGCAAAGTGCACATACATAGCAAAACGTTATAAGTCTAGTTTTTAAAAGTATAAGCAATACTTGTGGCTCCTCAGAAGTTTTAATAAATGGAATCTTTATTTACACATTAGTTTGGATTTTCTTTTTTCAATTTGGAAAAAAGTCTAAAGCTTATATCCAAATTTGAACTAAAAATCGTCATTATACAGCTTGAATACTCCATATCTGCAAAATGGGTCATGGGCTTTATATCTGCTTTGGGAAACAATGAAATTTGGATTCAGAACTATTCTGAAATAATCAAAACGTCTCTTAAGGTTTGAATATTTTAGAGGCTAACCCCCTACATACATTCCAAAGTCACTATAATTAAAAGTTATAATTAGGTTATATTTTCAAATTATAAATAGTTGTATTTTGTTTCAATAGAATCTAACATAAAATACTTAGACATACAAATATAAAGAATTGACTACAAGGTTTTCTCAAAGTGAATTTCTTAAACATATAAAATAGATTTAGAAATAAAAACAAAAAGTGCTTTAAATAATATAAAAGTAAAGTTCAGTAAATAAAATACAAATCATTTTTCCACTTTAGGAACTACTATGTTGAATGTTTTTCAACAGAAAACAGTTCACTGAGCTTCCTTGTTATTAGTATTGATTCAGAAAAGTAGTAATTCTACTTAAATTTTGCTCAAATTGAAAATGCTGGATTCATAAGATGTGAAACTTTTAACCTTAAACTTATGGTACATACCATCAGGGTCTGATATTATATCGAGAAGAGATTTATCCAAAGTAGTTTTGCTCATTATTTTTTCTTCATATTCAAAATATACATCCAGCTTTCTTGCCTGTTTCAAAGTAAATATTAGATGAGACTACATCAAGTAATAAAAATATATTAAAAGTCTTTCAAAAATTTCTATTTTCTATAATCAATTTAAGAAATAAATGTTCATTTCCTGGTACAATTTCAAGTTTCTTGCTTTTAATCACACACTTAATATACACATATACATACATGTATAAATCCTAGCCAAAAGATTAACTATTTTGTAATGTATCAGAATTAACTGTACATGTCTTACATATATTAGTAAAAATAAAAACACACTAATTGTATTAATTACTAACTAGAACACAAATCACATTGTACTCCATGCAAATTAATATTGTGGCCATGCTGTTTACATTTTTTAGTGTGCAAATCCACATTTTTCTATCTTAAGTGAACAAAAAATTACCCTAATTAGCCTGCTTTCAATGTTTTTAAAAAAAAACTCTTTTTTTCCCTCATTAGTTCTATTTGATATGTTGAAGTTTTAGATAACAAAAAAGTAGTAAAATGTTTCCAAGTGACATTGATCCAAATGAAGTTAAGAGTAAATAAAAAGTAATTATTCTTAAATATCTATTAAATTATGCTTCTGATAACAAAACAGAAAAGAACATATTTGTTCCTAACACAAAGGAGTTAAAAGTTAAAGTAGCAGTAAAAACCATTCATGAAATAAATTTGGATACTTAACAATACCAATGAAGAATCAACAGATAATTATAGAAGGTAAATACTTTATGCTAAAATTATATAATTAAATAAACAAACTTTTGTGGAAGAGGAAGTGATATATTTTGAATTAAAAGTGACTTGGGAACTCAGATATAGCTCATTTAGGTTAAACAGATCATACCAAGGTACAACAGAGTGCAGACATCCAAATAGTAGACTAAAGAGTGGATTTCATACATGGGCAATAGTCTTTTCAATTCCACTCCCCTGCAGTGGCACACAAAGCCAGATTTTTAAAGAATGAAATATTCAGGAGTTTAAAAAATAAACAACACAGAAAGGACAAAGAAGTTCCAGTTCTTGCTAGTCTTCTTCTCATTCATTTCCACCTGCTTCTATCAGTATTTTAATTATTTCTTCTACAGTTTTTCACTGTATTAACATAAAGAAATAGAACCTACATTCTAATATCCCTCCCCACTTTGACACAAAAAGTTAATAATGCTATACTCTTCTGCCCCCTTTTGAATAATATAGACTACATCAGTATGTGAAAATTTTCTTTACCAGTGAGTGCTTAATGAGAGTATAATAGAAAAAGTTTTTTCCTTATTATGTTTGTGCCTTCATATTCCCTGATGATATAGGAACTATTTTAGCTACTATATAGTGCTACTTTTATAACTATAACAGAGAAGAGGTAAAATCCCATGGAATGACAAAGTCCTAGAAATAATATTATAAATAGACAAAAGAAATATAAGAGAGATCCTATAGAAAAGACTAGGGTAGTGGCTAAGGGAACAGAGAAGATAGATATTTAATAATTAACACAAGAAAGGATATGAGAAACAACAGTAGTGAAAGAAGTAAAAGAAAACTCCCAGGGAACTAAAATGATTGTAGGAACTATGCTAATATGAATATTAGATTAGGAAAAGCTATTATTTGTAAAGCCAGGAATGAAAACGGAAAGGCAATAAAATATGGCATTAAACTGACTTTTAGGCAGTTCACAGTCTGATCCATCCAACTTTTTTGATTTCAGCATTATTTATAGATTTGGTTTCCTCAGTACACCATATAACTCACCAAATTTTCATTAAGCATAGTGTATACTTTTAACCTTCCAGGGTTATGCACAAGATATTTCTTTAAGTTTTTAAAGGATATATTACTTCTCTATCATTTATCCAGTGAATTCTATTCATTTCATCTTATTTGCAGCTTCTCTGCTCTCTCCCTCATATTCCTTAGCCAGAACTCGTTACTCCTTTACCTGTACCAAAAGCATTTCATAATAACAATGATCTCTCCATAACAACAATGATCACATCACATTACTCTCCTTTGCTTTTTATGTCTTCTTCCTAAAACTATAAACTCCTTAGAATGTGTCTACTTAATTGTTTAACCTAGGAGTTTAACAAAGAACCTGGCTCATAATAAGTACTTGAATTTATTGAATTTCAAAACTAAGAGCAGGACATATACAAGCAAGCAGTCATTTTTAAAAATCATAAAAATAGGTGAATGACCTTCTAGAAATAAAAAATGTAAATAATCTAATCTTTAGTGCTTTAATATAAAGAATTAAGCATGCTAAATGGTACAAGGGAATCAAATGTCTATATGGATCAGTGAAAAAACAATGTTTCATTTACTTATGCAGGTATACACACATCTGATTCATTTCTCCTTTCTTGATGTATTAACTTGTATTCCAAATTCTAAGGAGCAATGTAAATCGAGTCCCAAAACAATTTAGTTTGAATAGTAATGGACAGGGTTTAAAAAAAATTAGAAAAAAATTGTTTTTGGTGATAAAAATGTTCCAACATCAGGTTGTGATTATAAATTTCATCAATTCTATGAGTATACTAAAACATATAAGTGACCCATGAAATGTCTCTACAGAGCTCTAGGGTACTAGAGAACAGTGTTTAAAAACCACTACCTTAAATTATCTTGTTTAATTCTCCAAATAACACTATGAGCTAGGAATTGTTAGTCTCATTTTAAAGATGAAGAAGCAGACACAAAGAAACTTAAGTTTATTCAAGGTTACCAGAGTAGAAGTAGTAGAGAGTTGAGATTCAAATCCAGGTCATACTTCAATGTACACCACAGATAAAGAGTAGGGAAATTTATATTTTCCTCAAGAACAATTTATTGCTTCTTTTGCTTTATGAAAAAAAGCATATTTGTCAATTAGTAAGTGTTTGGCTTTTTGGTAATACATATAATTTTTGTATATATTTGGCAAAAGGTCATTCTGGCCAGAGATCTTTTATCTATAGGTCTTTTCTCAAATTCTTCAAATGAAGGAAAATACTGAGAGGCGCAACTTGGTAACTTCAAAGATTGGTTATTCTTATTCAACATGGGCTTAATAGATAATACAATTTGCATAGTAAGAGTGACATTAAAAATGAACAACTTAAAAATTATAAAATAACATCAAGATAAATTTTTGGTAGTTACATTAAATATCAAGAATAAACAGATAGAAGGGACTATAAAAGGGACTATTATAGAAAATCAAAAGCACTACACATGGAATACAGATTATACATATAGTGAATATATTGTGAATATGAGTTGTGAGAAAGATGAATTTCTCAAGAATTGCTTTAGAAGGGCTTTCTAAGTGAGGATATGATAAAAGTAAATTTAGTATTTCTTTCCAGTTAACAAGGAAGCTTTTTATTATACTGTCTCAAAATTTATATTCAATTAATACTGCATATATGTTGTTAAAATTTGCCTACCTATAGCCCACTGGATGGGAAAAAACACAAATAAAACAAATCTAAAGAAAACATTTTCCAAAGCTAGTCTGTCTCTTCCTTTACTGTAATGGACAATTTCTTTTCATAATAGACAATTCTTAAGATTCATCTGAGAAGTATAGTTTGTTTACACCTTTTGCCTTTTTGAAAATCTGTTACCTAGAAACATGTACCAGATACCACACAGGATATAAACGGAATTCTTTTCCTTATAATTGTTGGAGATCTTCCATCTCTTTGGCATTCTTCTCTCTATTCTAGCAGATATCACCATTATAGAATTCTCTCTTCATTGCTAGCCTCATTTCTTACCTCTGTTTAATGACTAACTGATGGCAAAGTCCAGAGACTATCTTGGCCTTCTCATCTCTTGGCCCCAACTATATCCCCTGGTACTATTTAGCAGTGAAAGAAAAGGCAAGAAAGAATTAGAGTTCTACCTCCTTCTTCCATTAAAAATCTCAATATTTCTCTCTATTTTTTTTAGGGGGGAGAGAGAAAGAGAGAGAGAGAGAGGATATAAACCCTTCTATGTTACAATGCAATATGAGAAATAACTCTACATTGTAGACTAAACAGGTTCTATGGGAAAGAAAACTATCTACCACATAATATTTTAAAGAAGGTATATTATACGCACTATAATAAACTTAGAATTAGACTTTCAGAATATAATCTGTACCTAAGTTGAAGACTGTTTATACTTGAGCCTTTTTTATTCTTTCTTCTTCATGAGTTTAATTTGTACCACCTTTTAGGGCTGTACTTCTATCTCCCTTCATCTACGTGGGTAGCAGTGGTAATGCATTATTCTAATAGTTTGTGGTTGGTGTACATCATGAGATTATGAACTCTTTAAGACTCCTCATTCATTATTGTGTGCACAGCGCCCTACAAGATGACTGGAATTCTCCAAAACAATTTTTTTCCTAATATAACAAAATATCAGGTTAATTTATTTTCAGTTATTTAGGTGGGTATTTTGATGAATTTCACACTGAAATGTTTGCCATTGCATGCATGAGTTTGCCAACATAAGAAATTATTCCACAGTAACTAGATGATCCATTAAGTTATATTTAGACGTGTTTTATAAGACAAGTAGCTGAAAATAATCACTTTGAAACACTTGCTTATATGTCAGAATGACATAAATTAATCCTTTCATCTTCACCTCAATTTTGTGCAGAGGAGGGAAAATGCAATGTATTATTAAGGTGAGGAAATTGGTTAGGATCTTCAATTTCTACAATAGAATGTTAACCTTACTACTTGGTTATCTCATTTTTAAATCTACATATTTTTCTATCAAGACACTAAATTTCTAGCATTCAAGGCCCAAATAAGAATATAGAATCAACTTTGCTTTATCAAATCCTATCAAAAATCCAATCAAAAATTGACATTATTATAAATTATTTAAAAAATTGGTAGTCATCTATTCTAGATATTAAAAATTTTATTCTAAGTTTAAGATGAACCATTAAAAGGCTATGAACTTAGATCTTACTACCTTGGTAACTGATAGAACTACTCTCACTGAATTGTA